CCATTTCTTTCATTTGTGACAAGTTTCTTTGTCTCCACATTTTGGCTGCTTCCCTGTGTTGGTTAGAATGGCTTTGTGTGCTAGGTGTCCTATAAGGCCCAGTGGCTCAGCCTCCCTAATTACCTAAGGTGGACACTCTTGGTGCACCCCTTTGTGGGCTGTGTGCACAGTCTTGTTGTACTTAAGTCTTGATTGCTGCTGATATCACTGCGAAGAATTAACCACCAGGCCAATTGGCTGTGAGGACCAGCTGTGTCTACAGTGGAAGAGATGCTGTGCCGGACTTGGTTTACTGGGGCTTTGGTGCTCACTGAGTCTGCCCCTTGAATGTGTCACTTATGGATATGAAGAGTTGTAATCTGGTATGGTCTCACACTGACCACCGGGTACACTGGTTCTTGTATTTCCAAGGAGGTACAAAGTCAGCCACTGCCTGGGACCAACCAGCAGGAACTACAGAGAGATCTTCAGATTCTTCTTCTTTGTATCGGGTTTGGAAGTGCCCAGATGAGGCCCAGCTGTGAAGCAAGGCAGGCTGCTGCTGCTGGCCTTGGGTCTTCTTTTGGGGCTCCCTGACCCAGCTGCCTGTTAGGTTTTAGGCTGAGAAAGGACAGGCCATTCATATATAAAAGCTGCTGTACACAGCTTGGGTGGGGTTGTAAATTGGGTGGGGTAGGGTCTCAGGGAATCTCTAGGGCGGAGCAAACAGCAATGGCTGCCAGTCAGCCCTGCACTGGAGAGGTCCCAGCGCAGGAACAATGACTGCTATGAGTATTTCTGTCTGCAAGAAAGCTGCCCTCATGTTCCTACCCTGATGCCAGACATTCCAGTTTCTTCACATATGTGTCTGGGTCCACCAGAGTCTTGCCCAGAACTGGAGTTCAGAGCAAGCTGGAGCTTGTACCTCCCTCCTGATTAAAAAATCAGTGCACCCAGGTGCCAGCCCATTCCGCCCCTCCACACCTCCTACCGGTCTCAATGGACTTTCTTCTTTACCTCTCTGGTTGTAGTGCTTCCACTCAGCCAGTTTTCCAGTGGTTCTGGATGATAGTTGTTCTGTCTTTTAGTTGTAATTTTGTTGTGGTGGTGAGAGGCATCAAGTACAGGTGTTTACCTATGTTGCCATCTTGGTTCTCTGGAAGATCATTCTTGGCTCTCTGGGAGATCTTTCTTGATGCTCCTTAAGATCTCTTCCAGCGAAGACTCTACTGAAGCCAAGGTTTGACCCTGGGCCTGAAAAACAAGCAGCTCCCATAGGCACTTATTAGCCCTGGCCAGCTTCATGGTCATTCCCACTCAGAGGAGCCAGACTATCCTCAGCCCATCTCTGCCTGAGACCTAAATGGGCTTCCTGGGGAAAGTTTCCAGCTCAGAGAAGGTGGAGAGAAAGTCAGAGGAAGCATTGTGTATGTTGGAGAAGGGAAACCTGAGGTGGGGAACTATGAAGAGGTGCTGCCCATTGTGGAAATGACAGTGCCGGGAGGCTTGGGGAGGGGGCTCCTGACAGGGATTTCAGATTCTGCTCTTCATTTAGTGTGGGGAGGGTACCTGTAAGAGCCCCCCAAACCTTGTTAAGATTTTATTTATTTATTTATTTATTTTAAAATTACAGTTGACATTCAATATTATTTTGGATTGGTTTCAGGTGTACAGCATAGTGGTTAGACAATCACATACTTTATAAAGTGTTCCTCTGCCCCCCTTCCCAATATTCCCAGTGCCTATCTGGCACCATTCATAGTTATTGCAATATTATTGACTGCATTTCCTATGCTGTACTTTACATCCCCATATTTTGTAATGAGCCCTTGTAACGTTTGTTCTTTCAGGGTAGGAAAATATTCTGAGACCCTGGAACAAAAACAATAACAAAAATATAACAGGAGCTGACATTTAATGAACACTTACTATGTCCAGGTGGAGTTCAAGGTGATTTCCGTGGGTTATCTCACTGGTCCCCACAGCAATGCCTCTGGGAGAGGAGGAAGTGAGGTCTGCACATGTTGAGGGACCTTCTCACTCATGCATTCTGGGCAAACATTGGCACAGCCTAAGCTTAGAGCCATGCTCTTCACTTGCTACCTGTACTGGAAGCTCTCCAGGGCTCTGTTGTCAGGACGATGCTCATCCTGATCTCTGTCAACAGACCCCTCTTGTTCCCAGAGGCAGAAATATCCAATGGCTGATCTCAGTGACATATTTGGGGACAACAAAGGATTGTTTGCACACCCACAGAAGTGAGCCTGCAAAGTATCAGATTATTTATTTCTGCAAGTATGTATAAGACATTGGTCCCTGACCTCAAAAATATCTTCATTTTAATTTCCCTTCACATGTCTTATGGATTGGATACTTAAAAGGCCAGGCCCAGCCCTAATTTGGGCGCCTCGATTTCATCAGCCTCAAAGGTTCAGGATAAAAAGCTGGGACTCAGCAAATCCCAGGACAGATCAATGTCTCTCTCTGGGTCTGAGTGACTTCATGGCAGTCACATGGGCGGATGTGACAGCTGCCCATATGCTCAGATTTTGAGGTGCTCAAATCTCTTGCCTAGGGAGAGCACAGGCCTGGGGGGCTATCAGGCCATGCCTGGAAGACCCTGACACCAAGAAAAGTTTCTAGTATTCAAGCCCTAGTCAAGTGCATGGCCCTATCCCTGCCTCCTGGGGTCAGTGCAGCCTCTCTGATGAGGAGGAGGCCGTGTGGATCTGCTGCCTCCCTGGTGGAGGGGTCTGTGTGTGATAGTGGATGGCTCTACACTTGAAGCTCTGCCCAGTACTTCCCAGCTGCCCAGCAAAGCTTTTTTTCTCTGAGTTCATGTTCCTTAACCCTTGACCACTCAGTGGGGCTGAGCGGGACCAAGCTGGGCTGTGGAGAAGGGGGCTGTGGAGCTTGCACCGTGATGCTTTCCAAGTATGATCGCCTCCAGAACAAGATCATGTATCCTTTGCCTGTTGGCTGATTGCCCATGTGAGGACTATGAAGCAGAAGTCAGCTTGTGAGTGAGTGAGCGTGCGAGTGTGTTGTATGTGTGTGTGTGTGCGCACGCGCACACACACATATGACCTTTCTAAAATCCAGTCTCATTTCACATCTCATGAAATCCTTCAATAGGTCTCCATCACCCCCAGGATAAAGTGCGGTCTCTTTGCTCAGCACATGAATCCCTTCACAATATACCCCATCTTTCCTCTCCAGTTTTCTTTCTCTCCATGGATCCAGCACTCCATTCATCAGTGCATCCTAGTCCCTCATGCAGAGACAATTGCAAACAACTAACATTCCATTCCCACTAATTTCTTAGTCTTTGCATAAGCTGTTTTCCAAGTATTTTTGAGTATACCTTCTTCCAGGACTTCTGTACATGGCTCCTTCTGGGAGGCCAAAGATGCACTGCTGTCTTTAGGACTCGGAAAAATACCACCTCCTCCAGGCCTTTCTTGATCTCCTAAACTGTGTTAGGGGCCTTTTGTCTGAGCTAGTCCCATAGTGCTCTGTGCACCGCTCTCCTGAGCACTGATCATAAGATATTTAAATTTCACCTTCACACTGGCTTATATTTTCCTGGTTGACTGCAAATGATTAAAGAACAGAGATTTCATCTTATTCACCGTTACTTATCAGCCCTCAGTAGAGTGCCTGGTATATGACTGGCAATCAATAACTGATCATGTGAATGAATGATGGATAAAGGAATGGATGTAAGCAAGCTCTAAGGGGTTGGTATCTCATGTCCCCTGAGAAATGGGGGAGGTAGACATGGGTGAAAACAGGAAAGCAAAAGTGCTGGAGGTACTGAAATTAAAGAGGTGAAGGAAGGGCCCTACAGAGAGAGGAGCACATGTTGGGCCTGGCACCTGCCAGGAACTTCCCCTTAACTAAGCCTCCAAGGTCGGGCTGAGTAAGAGGCATCTGAAAGTGCCCCTGGCTCCCTTGCTCCAGCTGGGAGAGCATTGGGTGCCCTGCTGCCTGACCCCCAAATGCTGGAGGGTTCAGGCCTCACCTGGGGGTAGTGGGGAGAAAGTGTCCTTTGTCCCTTGGTCAGGGCCTTGGGTGGAGAGGCAAGAACACCTGTAGAAGAGAAAAGGACATAATGTAGAGTGAAAGAAATGACACAGCATCATAAAGTCTCCCAGGCCCTGCACTCAGTCAGGTCCATCCTGATGGCCTGAATGGACAATGGAATGACCTTAATCTGGGGTTGCAGCCACTTTTCTGCCAATGCCTGCCTGGCCCCCATCTGTTCCTTGCACCATGTTGCCGTGACGACTGTGGAAGGGATAGGAAGCACCAAGTCCAGGCTGCATCCCGTGCAGGTAACCAGAGCAAAGGGAGCTCATGACAAAGCTACAGACTTGCTTTGGGTTGTTGGGCTGTCACCCCTGGGCAAAGGAGGCATTATGGCCGGGCCACTTCCCCATCTCCTTAGGGGTCGGGGGTGGGGACTGGGCTGTGAGACAGAAAAAGGAGGAGGCGCCATGCTGCAGCTCTCTCCTGTGGCGGGGCGAACGTAACACTGCATGACTCCAAGGGGACCAAGAGGTCAACTGGATTTGATGGCTGGACAGTCCAGCTGCACCAGAACTGGAGGGAGGGGGGGGGACTTCCTCACCTTGAGCTTGAATATGCCTGGGAAACCCCCTGCCTTCCCAGATTCAAGATTCCAAGTGCTCCGTGTCCCTTGATCAAAAGCCCACCTCTCCCTGCCCCCTCGAGTGGCAATTCCATTGCACCTCTCACCTGCCACCCGCAGATAATACAAATGTGGGCTGCCAGGCCTCCATCCTCACTAAACGCAGGTCAACAAGGCCTGAATAAGAGAACAGAGACATTCGAGGGTCTGACCAAGGCTTTCTTCATGATGCTACCAGACCCCCCAGGAACAGATTGAAACTGGGAACGCTTTTGGGTAGAGTGGGCAGTAGTCTGGGAGGTTTTGTGGAGAGAAGCAGAATGCTCTCAGGTGAAGTGGAACGGAGCACGCGTGGGAGCAGAGCACTGCGGGAAGGAAAGGCCATTACTCCCGGTGCTTTTTGTTTGGGGAAACTGAGGCAGGGAGGTCTTTGGGAGATTACAACCACAGAGGGTGCCAGAGCCACACCCAGGTCTTTGTCCTGCCTTGACCATTTGGGGAGACGAGCTGTCCAGAGCAAGCCGTCCTTGGGCACCGACGTGAATGTGGGAGCCAGGGCCTCTGGTTGAGCAAGCTGGTTATACTCCTTGGGAGGAGCCTCTGGGACCAGCCAGGTGAGGCCAGTGCAGGGTGGGGGTGGTATTGCTCCACCTCTGTGACTTCATTCTTAGCTTAGGCAGGAAAAGGGAAAATTGCTAAACTTGTCCAACCTGAAGGAGATGTGAGAAGGTTCATTAGGGCTTATAATCACCTTTGAGACAAATAGATGAAAGAAAGCATGAACAGTTTTAATACTGAGGTTTTATCTGTATAATTAGGCTAAAACCCTGCCTTTCCAGTGACACAAGTCCTTATTCCCCATGCTCCTATTTTGGCTCCCAGATAAGCTGCAGAGCTAGATTCCACTTTTCCTTGTCTACCCAGTTTTTTATCTTGATATCTATGACACTCCCCTCCCCTCATTCTCCTCCCATCTCCATGCACTGGTCCTTTCTGCTCAGTCCCTGTGGCTGCCGGTCCCCAGGGCTCCTGCCCGGGCCCTTCTCTTCTCCACCTTCACACCCTTCCCATGTGAGTTTAATACCGTCTACATGTGAACAGTTCACATATTTATATCTTCAGCTTTGACCTCTCCTCAGAGGTTAGGTTCAGATTTCCAGCTGCCCACTTGGCATCACTACATGGCGTCTAGTCTCAAATGTAACAAAAGCCCATTCTTTCCCAACTCCTTTCCTCCCCAGTCTGTCTCCATCGGAGACAATGGCAAAAGCATCCATCCACTTGCTCTGCACAAACACCTAGCAGTCACCTTGATGCCTTCTCTTTTACGCCACCCCCACTTCATCCAGAAGTAGTGTTTACTTCCCAATCCTAGAGTGACACCTCCATTTTCTCTGTTTCCCTATTACTGCTTGGTCTGAGCCACTATCCCCTCTTGCCTGATCCTCTGTTTCTATTGTTGCCCCCTACAACCCACTCCCCACCCAACTGCCAGAAGATTCTTTAAAAACATAAATTAGATCTTATCCCATTATGGCTTCCCATCACACCCAGAATAAAAATCTGGGTCCTGACCATGGCTTACGAGGAGCTGTGTGATCTCTTGATGGGGTCCAGCCCCAGCAGGTCCAGGGGTCCCCAAAGGTCTGGACGGAGTCGGCGAAGAAGGAATGACATGGAGGCAGCATTCAGTTGATCAGCAGCCTTGCCAGGATCTCTAGCCACAATCTCCAGCCAAGTCCTGTGTCCATGTTCTCTTGCTAGTTTCTCCAGCCCGGTTCTCCAGGTCCTCCAGCCAAGTTCTGTAGCCATGTTCTCTCACCAGGCTCCCCAGCCAGGCTCGGCCCAGGCTCTCCAGCCAGGCTCGGTCGCCAGGCTCTGTCTAGGCTCTCCAACCAAGCTCCGCAGCCAGGTTCTGTCCAGGATCCCCCGCCATGTTCTTTCCAGCGAAGCTCCTCTGTCTCCAGGCTCTGCGCAGGCTCTGTCCTCCAAGTTCTGTCTCTCGGATCCTCATCTAAGTTCTGAGTCCTGTTGTCTTGTTGCATCTGCATTTATACCAGTTGATTCTAATCCTATCAATCTCTATTCCAAAGGTTAGGGCGTTTCTTATATCCATTCCAGGGAGTAAAGATTATGTACTTAAACATGATTGTTCGTAGTTAAAGTGATTAATTACCCGCCTGGCAGTCAAGAGGTTTTATTCCCTCCCTAACTTCAGGGGAAAATCCCTACCTGGGGAAACAACCTTTCTCAGAGAGGTGACCTTGGTTAAAACACATAGTGCCAAGGTGACCAAACATATTAAGAACAGTATGCCATATATGCCAGGTCCCTTGAAACAGCAAGGATGGACCGGCTCCCGGCAATCTCTGCCAGAATTTCTCTTGTCCCAGCGAGTTCCATCCACACTGACCCTTTAGTCACTCTAGCACACCAGGCTTTGCACATGCTGTTCCTTCTGACTGGAATACACTCTTCCCTGACCCAAATTGTTATTAAATTCAACTTAAAAGTCACCTTTTCAGAGCCACCACTTCTGACCACTTCGAGGAGCCTTACTCACTCAGGGTCCTGCCATCCTGAACTAATTCTTACATAGTGCTGATCTCCTCCTGGAATTTAGGTTTTGTGTGTGTCAGTATTTTTCCTCGTAGGACATGAGCTTCATGAGACCAGAGACTGTATCTCTCTTCTTCACTGTCTGGTCCCCTACCATGCCTGGCACATAATAGTTCCTCAGTAATTATTCATAAAATGAATGAATAGATATGCTAGGCACTGGGGATATAATATTCTAATAATTTTACCTAATGTAAGTGCCAAGAGAGACTCTTAAGAGACATAGTAATAATAATAATAATAATAATAATAATAATAATGTGGAAAATCTCCTTGTAATGAAAATCTTGTAGGTTTGAATGAAAATTTTGTGATAGTCAATGCATATGACATGTTCTATATGATCCATTTCTCAACTCTTAGGTCCCCACTGGATGTCGAGGATTACCACTGGACAGTGGTATTGTAGTTTGGAATAAGATGCATTCAGTTGGTTCTGAACAAAGGCTGGTTGAGGTGGATTGCAGGGTAGTGTAGGTAACAGAAGGTGACACAGCTCTTCCATTCACTGTGTGTGTCTCTGGGTAAATCTCTTAATCTCTGGACCTGCTTCCTCCTCTGCTCAGTGAAGGGAACGGAGGGTGAGAAGATGCTTCTGGCTCTAATAGTCCCTCTTCTCTGAAGGGCCTTTCCTACTAATAGCGAACACTGCTTGAATTCCCACTTGTATGCCAGGTATAATGGTAAGAGTTTTTGTGAATTATCATTGAATCCTCACCACAGGTCTAGAGGAAAGTACCAGGATGAGGGACCTGCAGCTCAGAGAGTCTCGGTGATGTGCCCAAGGCCACAGTTGGCAAGTGGTGGCACTAGGATTTGACTCTGTGCAGTGCCTGCTGCCCACTCTGCCTGTCGATGTGGCCTGGCTTCAGTTGAGTCACGTAGCAAGTCTGAGAGGGGTTCTGCCAACACGGGTGTTCATGTCATCTCTCCCTTTTAGGAGAGAATTGCCAAAAGTCACGGTTCCCAGTGTGGGTTCTGCACCCCCGGCATGGTCATGAGCATGTACACGCTGCTCCGGAACCAGTCTGAGCCCACTGTGGAGGAGATTGAGAATTCCTTCCAAGGTACGGGCCCCAGGAGGTAGGGTGGCAGATGGGGCTCTGAGAGGGTCAGTGCAGGGCCCGAGTGGAAGCCGGGAATGGGCCCGGAGTCGGAGGCACTGCCCTCGGGAGAAGCTCAGCCTACCCGCACGTGTTGGCTAAGATCTGCTGGAGGGCTGGCCTCTCCTAGTTTGAGGAGCACACAGGTGGGTTGGAGACAGCTTGCCTGAGTGTTCATCCTCCCAAGGTGTCTTCTTGCCCTCCTTCTGCACTGGGGTGGGTGGCAGTGGGGAGACCATTTGGAAACTCCACAGGGCCTAGTGATATCACTTCCTTCCATCTCAGCTTTTACCAGGACAGGACTCTGTAGGGCAAAGGCCCATCCGAGAAGGCAGCCAGGATTCTGAGCTCGGGCAGGGATGGCTTCCCACGTTCCCTCGGTACAGGGGCCTAGGAGCCTGGGCCAGGTGTCTGTTTCTCTGAACTGAATAGAGAAGACTCCCCCTTCCATTCACCATTTCAGTTCATCATTTATTCAACCAGTTATATTGAGTCCTATCATGAGCCAGGCACTATACAGGGAACAAGGGTCATTGGATAAAAGACACCATCCCTACTCCAGGGAGTTCATATTCTGAGGGAGAGAGAGTTTCACTCATAAAACAATGACTAGGCACCATAGAAGCACTTAGGGCATTCCAGGAAGTCTTCCTGGAAGAAGCACAAAGGAGGAGGAGGAGGGGCATTCTAGGAAGAGAAAACAGAATGTGCAGAAGGCATCTGAGCCTTGAGCTCAACCAGAGCCCCTCACTTGCCGTGGAGCCTGCACTGACATCGCATCTGTTCCCTTGTCTCACAGGAAACCTGTGCCGCTGCACAGGCTACAGACCCATCCTCCAGGGCTTCCGCACCTTTGCCAGGGTAAGTGGGGGCCCCCAGGACATCAGTGGCCCTGCCCCTGAAGCAGCAACACCCTGAAATCACAGTTGGGAGGGATGCCAAGGGCCTCTCATTACAGAGAAGAGAAATAAGATGGCCAGATGGCAGGTCCTCCCACTGTGGCTACCTGGGGAATTGGTTCCTAGAAGAGGCATGTTGCCCAAGAACTAATTTCCTCCAGGGCGTCTAGGCTTGGCAGCTTTCCTTGGAGACCGGTCTGCTCAGGCCACAGTACAGGTGCTGAATGACTGCACACCCAGGTGCCTCGTCCTTTCCTCTCCTGGCTGCCTTCTGAAGTTGGCCCTCTGCTGGGCTGATGAAACTGCTAATCAAATCGCTAGTTTGCGAAGCCCTGCAGTGTTCACAGAATGCTGAGTGAGAAGCCACAGCCAGGTGTGTGGGCATCGCTTATATAAACACAGGTACACAGCTGCCACCTGGCAAGGAGGACACACAGCTGGCCTCTCCTGTCTTGCCTTAATATCCTTAGATTTTACCTGATTCTCCAACTGGGTCAGGTTGATCCTGACCCTAGTCACACACCTCCTCTCAGTGTCATTCAGGGTTGATGGTAGAGACAGCTTTTTGCTGACCTGTTGGGTAAGTGCATTACAAAAAGGAGAGTTTCATGCAAATAATTCACAGGGGTGGAGATGGAAGTGGGGCTCATAAGGATGGGACACCACACCCTGAGAGAAATTAGGAGGTGTGGGTTCTGAGAAAAATGATTGAAAGCTCAGACCTAGAGTTTGCAGACCTGGGTTCAAATTCCATTTCATTACTTAACTGATTCATGGCATTGGGCAAATGGCCTTGTTTCTAGAATGTGGATTATAATAATACCTACCTTGTCATGAATGTTGAAAGTACCTCTTGCAAAGTCCTCAGAACAAGGCTGGGCAGATCTTAAGTATTCAGTAAGTGGCAGCTATAAATCACCATGCTGGTCCATTTCTTCCATGACTTAATACTTGATCTTTACAAATGGTGCAGGCTTCTTTGAGAACCAGGAATTGTTAATCTTGTCCATGAATGTATTTCATAGGCGGCTGCTCAAAGAGGAACAATTTAGCCAGCCCTCCTAGTTTCTCAAAAGAGAAGGGCTTTTGAGTGTAGCTGATAATTATGCTCCTTTGGAGGGTCGAACTGGGTCCTGTTTCCAGTGTTTGGCGGTGCATCCCTCTGTCCAGCTGCTGGTCAGTGTGGAGCTGAGCTGAGCTGAGCTGAGTTCTCTGAGCAGCCAACATGGCCTGCACACAGTGTCCTTGGAAGCTCATGTGCATTACTCCTTAGAGACCCCCAGCCTTTATTCAGAGCCTTTTCACTCTTTTTTTAAAAAAATATCCTCACCTGAGAAATGGGGATATTTTTTTCCATTGATATTTAGAGTGAGTGGAAGGGAGGGGAAAAGGGGGAGAGAGAGAGAGGGAGAGGGAGAGGGAGAGGGAGAGGGAGAGACATCAATGATGAGAGAGAGAGAAGAAACTTTGACATGAGAGACACATATCAATTGGTTGCCTCTTGTTAGCACCCTGTCCAAGGCTGGGGATTGAACCTGCAGCCGAAGTGTGTGCTCTTGACCAGAATTGAACCAGTGACCCTTTGGTCTGTGGGTCCCATGCTCTAACCACTGAGCAAACCTACCGGACAGAGCCTTTTCACTCCTGTTTTACACACAGTTCTAACAGACCTGGCTATCTTGTCTTCACGCCCATGGCACATACTAGAAAAGGGTGAGGAGCATGTTCTAGAGGGAGGCACACCGTTCCCAGTGAGAAATGACAGTGTCCATCCAGCAGCAAGCAAGGAAGGGAAGGAACCATAAAAACCACCCTGAGCTCAGTGTCTCAGCCTCCTGAGAAAAGTGGAAATCCCTGCAGGGGGAAAGCAGTCTTATCCGGCCTCAGTAGACCTTGAGGGCAGTGACACATTGTCCATCGCAATTGTTTATGTCATAAGAACGCCAATGAATTATCAAGAACAAAGATTTAAGAAAGAATGTGTTGGCATTCAATGCCCGGGAAAAATGTGCGTCTGTGAAATACATCCTTCCCACCAGCACTGGGTGCCCCTCACTTCACTCGGGACCTGGTGACTCCCTGCATCACTCCTTCTCTGAGAAGGAAGATGAGAAGAGGCATTATAGGAACCCACCTTCCTCCCTCCCTCCCTCCCTC